CTATGCGCACATTTCAGTGGATTAACCACTTTGTCTCGTATTAAAGAAAAATAGTTATAGATAGTTCCTGAAGACTATTGCATTCGTTATGTAAAAGTATGTGGTTATTTTCATTTAAAATATTTGGCAAAGAAACTATAAACTATCGTTTAGCCAAAAAATTAGTTCTCTACATTATTCTTACAATGAAATATATAGATGAAACCAGGTTACAAGAAAATTTTTAATTGATTTGTTTGTATTTATTGTCATTTTTCTTTTCAAAGGAATAGCCGGAAGATAAACATGTACTTCAGCATGCTCATATCCGGATAAGTTCTTTGATCTAATCGTTAACCTTTGAAAAATTGCATGCATATGAAATTTCGATGATTTATCTTTAATGACTAATAACGTTTTCTGGTTGTTACTATTAAATAAAAGATTTGGTACTATTTTTAGAATTATATAAAGAAAATTTGGGAAGCAGACAAAAAAGATCTATTATTATCATTAGAGATTGAAATAGAATATTGCATAGTAGGAGATGTTCCACAAAAATAGATATAGCGTTTTGCAGATAAAAACCAGCTTATAATCATGGATGATTATCAATTTTGACATTAGTGTATTTCTTTTGTAATCGAATGAAACCTAAAATACATTCGGTAAAATGTTTTGTTTGACCGTATATTTTATCGAATGTATTTTTAAACTACTTAAAGATTTCTCTTAATAGATAAGACATAATTATTATCCGAAAGGGAAATCATGTTTGTATATAACTATTCAGATATGTTTTGAAAGAAATAAAAATATTGCTTTGATAAAACTATTCTGATTATATTAATTAGATTAAAATTCATTGATTTTGATACACATACTTAACTCGATAAAGAAATGGAAAACAATTCGTTTTTTTGTTATTTTATAATATTATATGGAAATTTTTTATTTATTTTAAACATTTATATAGTTTAATTAATTATGGATACGTGTTCTCGTTTTGTACCAGAAAGAGCTTGTCGTTTTTTTTTCAACCTTCATCATATCAAGGCGAATACCTTCGTTTATAATAGTTCCGTATTATAGTATCTAATTGCTGAAGACCTTTTTGTCTTCGTAATGTAGGTTCAAAATAGTCTTCAGATTTTTTGTTATTTAAGTATATTGATTTTATTTCTAAAAATCTGTTTATGAACAAGTGTCGTGTATTAAGAAAGAAACCTTGACAAAGATATTTTCTAAATGAAAATTTTAGTGGTAAAATCGTTAAAAAATAATACAACGTAAAAGGAATGTTGCAGTATAAAGATACAAATTAGGGTACCCATTTTGTTCCACACACATCGTGACACACACCATAGCAATATTCTCTCCTTCACGTTTCAGACTTTGACAAACGTTATTAGTATATGATCAAAAGTCTTGTATCAATAATGTCTTGTTGTAATGTATATGAGGTATTTATTGTATTTCTGGAGTATTAAATATAATGATGGTGAAGAAAGCCTCCCGAAACAGATGAAGTAAATCAGACTGCATATGATTATCTATAGTAGGTATGTCGTGTTTCAAATTTTAACTGTCTATGAATCACACTATCGACTTTCTTAACAATGACAAAGGTTTTCGTGAATAAAATTTTCGTTAAAATGCATCAAATAACGTCGGTAGTGTAATAATTTAGCTTCTTTCTCTTGCCTAATCTAATAATAATTATTTGTTTTGTGCGACAAAGCGAAATAATCTGTCATCATTGATTCGATAACTAAGTCTAATATTTGACTTTCTTTTCAAATGTTTATATGATATAATTTTACATTAGTTTTGTATTGAAAGAAAAGATTTCGTAAGTGAAATTTTCTCAATGAAACGAGAACAATTAACAAATATCAATTCTGACTTGTTCCTAAATGAACTTATTTTCTTTCTCTTTCATTTAGATATTGTGGATATCAAACCACCAAATATGGAAGATCTTACTGAAGTGATAACAGGTGCAGAGTTTCATCCACGTGAATGCAATCTTTTTGTATACAGTAGTTCAAGAGGTATAATACGTCTTTGCGATATGCGACAATCAGCACTTTGTGATCGACATTGCAAAGGTAAATAAAAACAAAGGAAAAAAAAAATTAGACATTTTTTCTTTTATTTGTTTATTTAGTTTTTGAAGAACCTGAAGATCCAACAACGCGTAGTTTCTTTTCTGAAATAATATCATCAATAAGTGATATTAAATTTAGTCATTCAGGCAGATATATGCTTACAAGAGATTTTCTTAATCTCAAAGTATGGGATTTACAAATGGATAATAGACCAGTTGAAACATATCCTATACATGAATATCTTCGAACAAAATTATGTGCTTTATATGAAAATGATTGTATTTTTGATAAATTTGAATGTTGTTGGTCACCACGTGATAAGTAAGTCATTATTAAGATTTACATAAGACATATCAAAAGTAATGCCGAACGTTTTTTGATTCCTTATAAAAGGCTTCCCATCCCTTAAAAATCGACTTTAGGCCAGGTACATCTATCAAATCGCACGAAATTTTCAGAATACAGCGGTGCTCTAGTAAAGAGGCTACAATCCCGATCTTATGATTTTTTCGGAAGGTACTCAACAATAAAAGGTCAAAAATAACTTATTTTGATTTCTAAAATTCTTTTTGGTTACTCATTCTATAAGTTTTATTTGTTTTTATTCGAGAGAGCATCTCAGACTGCAGTGTTTAAATTCTTAGTTCGTTTCGCAACAAAAAAGAATTACAAGTTTAATACCTACAGCAATAGTCATGTATTTTAGAAATATTTTTTTTTCTATATAACAATAAAAAGCTTCATAAACAAGAAGCGGGGTACGTCGTACATTGCAGTTTCATATGCTCTTTCCAACTAAAAAGAGCAAGTGGCTACAATGAAGTTCGATCGAGAATTCTGAGATACGCCATCTGAAAAGTACAAACAGAGAAACAAAACAAGAGAAATATCTCCTGCTTTTTTCTGAGAACAGTATATATTTTCCAACAGATGGTCGCGAAAATCATCAGAGATTGTGACGAAGAATGAAACGCTAAATAAAAAGCCATGTTGTTTATGAAAGATCAAACCTCAAGCTATCTTCTACTTTGATCTTTTGGACGAAAATTGACTTCTTTTTTGAAGAAGACTTCAAAGAAACTTTCTATATTGTCTGATGGTAAAAACAATGCTTTAAATTACTGTGATATTTGATCATTGTTCAACTAATATTTTAATGATAAAATTTCGTTGAGAGTTGTTTTGTTATGATATGTAACGATAATGTTAGATCACATTCTGTCTTTGATATGGATAATTTTCTTGATGCTGTATTTGTCTAGCGTTCTATATAATTATATATTAGGATATACAAAATGTCGTGTCAGTATAAAAAACGTTCCATAAATCGATCTCAACAAATGTAATCAAGTGTGAAAAATCGAGACAATTATGTCGAACGTTTAGTGCAATAAAGATTTGATGAACTTGTTTCTATATATATCTGTTTTATTTTATTGACATCACTTTTTCTATATCATAATATGCATAGACGACTAGACAAAGAGAACGTCAATAAAATGATACATGTCGAAGACGAAATATGATCTAATGTAATCATCACATATCATAACAAACAACTCTTGTTGGAATTTTTTATCATTTTCATATTAGTTGAAGAATGATGAAATATCATAGAAATAAATGCAAAGCATTGGGTCTACTATCTGACTATATAGACAGAAAATTTCCCTAAACTATTTTTTATAAAGAATTAAAATACTTTCAGCTAAAGTCTGTCGGGTTCAGTACTAACCCGACGGGTTCTAATTCCGACATTACTTTTGGTATGGTCTCAGTATTTATTTACAAAATAAAGTCTAATTTAATTTTTGTTTGTTTATTAAGTCATTTACTTACTGGTTCTTATCATAATTTATTTAAAATAACATCACGTGTGACACGTAAAGATGCAATATTTGAATCATCACGTGAACAAGCTATTCGACCACGACAACTATTAAAAGCTAAAAAAGTGACACCATCAGCCCGTCGAAATCGTCGTGATGAAATCAATTCGGATAGTTTAGAATTTTCGAAAAAAATTCTTCATTGTGCTTATCATCCAACAGACAATATTATTGCTATAGCTACTGCACACAATCTTTTTACATACGTCGCAAAAGATTCATCATCATTATCATCGTAGACAAGCATTTTTCATTTTTTTTTCTTTCTTTCGTATTCAAATTAGATTATTAAAATGAACAAAAAACACGTTTCTATTTTTTGTTTCTGCGTTTGAGCATGTACGTTTTTCTTCTTCTTTCCTTTCTTTATGGTTCTTATAAATCATTCAATGATAGATGAAAAGGAAATAGTCAGTGCATAGAAAACATACGTTTATATATATATATTTTTCCAAATGGAAGAATTTATTGTTGTAATATCATTCTCATGATGGAACCTCGGTGATTATTTGTATCCCACACTCTTAGACGTAATTTTTTTTGCTCTCGGTTGTTCGTTTATTCTTCATCGTTATTCTTTTTTTTCCCTATATCCTATAGCTGGACCAGTGAGTTTCTCCAGCATCGCGTTCTGTTCTTTTTGATTCATCATTAAATATACACACATACCATTCCAACATAAAAAAACAAAGCGCATCTTATGTCTATATAGTACTTTTTTTTTGTCTTGTTCCCTTCACTTGTTCTTTTTTGGTTCGTATTGTTATTCTTAAAGAAAGGCATGTATGAGTGTGTATTTTTATATTGCCCTACTTTTTTCCTTACCAACGAATCAAAACAAAACAGCAGAACAAACATTGATTGTCTCTGTTTCTTGTCGTTTTTCTTCTTTCATCTGTCGCAAACTTTAAAAAAAGAAATCATAACAAAACAATAAAATGTTTTTGAGAAAAGAATTTTTTATTATTATGTACATATTGAGTACAAGTTCAATATCTTTCTATTTCTTGTAGTAGTTATTATGACAGTTGATTATCTACCACTCATTCATGATTCTGATCTAGCCAACAAAATTCATCATTCATTTAATATTCTCGAACAATGTTTAACTAAATATACACCAAATCAAATAGCAGTTGCGTTCACTGGTGGAAAAGATTGTACCGTTGTCTTACATCTATATTCGTTAGTATTACATAAAAAATTTTCACAGTCAAATAAGAAACCATTATTTCGTGCTGTGTTTATTCATAATAAACCACAATTCGATGATGTTTTACAATTTATCGATGAAAGTGTCAAACGTTATGATTTACATCTTATTGAGATCCAAGGTCTAATGCGCGATGCATTAAATCAACTGAAATCTACTCATCCTGATATTCAGTGTCTTATAATGGGTACACGTCTAACTGATCCATATTCATCAAATTTAAAGGATTTTTCACCAACTGATCCAACATGGCCTGCATACATGAGATGTAATCCAATATTAAATTATTCCTATAAAGATGTATGGACATTTTTGACAAAATTTGATGTGCCTTATTGTTCAATGTATGATCAAGGTTTTACGTCTTTAGGTGATAAAGAAACAACAGCTAAAAATCCGAGATTACTATATGAAAATGCTGATACAGGTTTAATGGAATACAAACCAGCTTATTTATTAGATGATGGGATCAGCGAACGAGAGGGACGTGTACAATAAATTATAAGAAAAATTATTATGAATGTTTTTTCCTCGCGAAATGCAATTTAAAGTTGAAGAAAATTAACGCTTTACTAAAAATTTTATTGAAAATGATCAATAGAATGCTTCAACTAATGAAGAAATATTTTATTAGAAAGAATTCTAAAATTTTTATCATTGAGAAATTGTTTTTGTGTTGCATGTAGTGATATACATTTGAAAGAACAAACGACATTGAAAACAAATCGCACCATACCGGGTGGCAGAGAATGAATTATGGTGTCAGTATTTTTTCAATCAACTTATAAAACGAAGCTCTTCAGCAGTCCTCCTTCGGATACCAAAGCCTTTTCTCTAGTGTTTTAATAAAAACCCTACAACGATTTAGTTTCCTATCGATATTTGACTAAACTATCAAGTTTCTAACCTGTCGATTTTCTAGAAGTTCTAAGCTTTCGGAAAACTTGCATTTTCGAATTTTGATCTGAAACTTTGCGCATACTGAGAACACAGATAGAATAATCATAAATACCGCAAGTAAAAGTATTTTACTTGTACTGTAGAAAAAAAGTACTTTTAACTTAACCTGCCTTTGCACAAGTATACTTCTTCCTGCACTTGTTTACATACTTAAGTACAAAAAAATACTTGATGTATGAATATAATAAACTTTTTCTTCAAAGTTGACTACCTCTCATAAGTTCTGCGCGGTCATTGTGCCATCATCTTCTAAAAAAGTAAATGAAAGTAAGAATATTTTAATGGAATTTTTTTTCTTCTCATATGCTGTCAAAAAATTCAATATAGGACACTCGTAAAAATTGTCTATTTTCATCGTTGGAGTTTCTTCAAAATTATGATGAATATCTATAAATGATGATACTTATTCGACTTACTATCATAGGTGTAAATAATGTTCCCAATAACACCAAAAATAATCTGCGTAAATTGCGATCCGTGCTCCACAAGTCAGCACAGATGATTGATTTGCTGCATTTTAAAATCATCGATAGGACTTCTTGCATATCTTGTAGATCTTCCTGAAAGTTTATGTTAAAAATCATTAATTCTTTCTAACTATATTGAACTTAAAAATAAACGCAATTTATCAGATCTACCTTGATATGTGACTAATAATTTAACAAGTTGAATATGTGTAGGATGAAAATCTGCTTCAATAGAAACCTATAGAGTTGTCTTTCATTCTTTATAGAATACGTCGGAAATATAAAAAAAAATGTTTGATATAAAAGAGTCTTAGATTTTTCAAGATAAGTAGAAGTCCAAAATTCGTTTTACTTTTTATTAAGTTCATGCATGTAGTTAGTAGACGATTAAACTACTCGATCGACTAGGTTTTACTATTTGAAATGTTGTTCGTTGAGGGCAATAGTAATGTATTCAAAAAGATACTGTTTCGTATTATAAATAACATTACAAGTATCAATACTTTTGTTCGAGCTCTGATAAAGAATTCAACTAGACTAGCTTCCATAAAAAAAATGCAGAAGTTGTAAACAAAGTATCTTCGAGACATGAGACTGTCAAGATGTAGCCTCTTTTCCATGGATAGTGTATACAATATGCTTTATTTTTGCAAGCTTGATATCTCGAAGAGAATTTGTTTAAGGAAGCCAGTCTAGTTACATTCTCTATATGCACTAAGTTTCAGATCGAAACTCGAATATATGAATTTCCAACAACCTTAAGCCTGTAAAAAATAGGCATTAAATATTCGATGGCTCAGTCGAATATCAATAGGAAACTAAATCATTTTAGGGTCTTTATTAGAATATTATGTTTTATCTATAGGCAAAAAGATCATTGAATTCGAAAGGGGGCAGCTGAAGAGAGTTCCTCGTAAGTTGGAAAGTTGAACATATTGGAATAATCTTTTCTTTTTAGTATTCGAAAAACTATGAAATATACTCTCAGTGATAGAACCATATAGATTTGTAGAGAATTAAAAACATTATCTTTTGAAAAAATAATCAGTTTCAAAATGATGAGAATCGAATGGAATAGTGCGAAAAAAATTGATACCACCATTTATTCTGCGTCATTTGTTACATAAAATAATTGATCCTATTGTTTATTGATCCGATTTTCATGATCTTGATACTGGATTGTTTCGTCAATTATTCAACGCAATGAAAGTAAATAATATATGTTTGCAGTCATTCATTTTCCAAAATAAATAAATTTTCATGAACTACTACGAAACAAAATTCAACTGTTTTAAAGTATAACTGATATAGACATATGTAAGTTAAGAAAAAGAATCTAAACAATAAAAGACTAAGGCACAAGGATCGATCATATCTTTCAATTGTGTACTATATGAAATATAGTTCATACCAAAATATACACCACAGTAACACTTGAAGAAAAACAATTTTAAATTACATAATAATTTTTGTATTGCTAATTATCGATGAAAAGAAAGTTCAGTGGATTGGTCTCTACAAACTCAATATTTAATATCCTTTAACTGAAAGTGAAAAGAATTATTTTTAATAGTGACAACTAATTATTTACAAAGAAAAAGTATAACTGCCATTGATTAACATTATATGAATATCAATAAATGTCATCTGTAAACGCAAGATTAATGCTGTATCCAACAAAGATCAAGTATTTGTGGAGAAATGAAGTGTTTTTCTTACATAATCCAATTCTAAAACACAAAAGAATATAAAATGATCTACTAGATGAAATAATACCGATGCCTACTGTATACATTGATAGTCCAACAAACAGGGTTTTATAATTCTATAATACTTCATCATTCATCAGTTGATGGAATAATATAAGAATTTCGATTAAATCTGTTAACCTCTGATTTAAATAGATAAGGAAAACTTGCGCTTCTACCATAAGTCTCCTACTGCACTACGTATTCAAGTGAAAATTATTCATGATAAACTATATTTTGTTTTCGGCGATCAGGCTCTATCTCTTCGAACAGTTCAAAGATGATAGGAATAGTTCTCTGAAAGTTGAAAAGACGTTGAAGACGAAGAACCCTCTATCAGGTCTGTAATTCAGATCATATATCTTTCATGATTATGCTTGAAGTCGATTGTTACGATGATCGAAGATTATTCATTGGATAGCGTCATAGTTCAGATTAATTTGAACTTGTAATTTCCCAATTGTAATAAGAGAACCATCATTAATAAGACAATGCATCTGTTCGTTCTTTTCAGGTGATATTTGGCTACACATATGCTGGATCGTGCTCCAGCCTCAATATGTACTCGATTGTCACGAACTCATGCATATCATTTTTTAGCTGTGCTGACAGGTGGGAGCCAGGTGGGAGCCAGGTGGTCGAAAATAAAATATAGTGAGGTATGGACCTCAATGCAACTGTGAAAGTTGCCCTTATCTAACAAAATCAGAGGTGAACAGCTATGATCGAAAGTTTAATATTATCATAGCAAATACAGAATGACGAAATCTTATAGAATTATAGAGCTTTGTTTGGATTCTCAGCATGATTATCGAGAGAGAAAACTTTACGAGTGTTCTTTATTGTAGTTAAGTGCTACTATCACCACTTTTGGCATACTCTAAGTATATTATCTTAAAAGGATTACCAATTCTAGATTTCGAAAAACTTTTATCATACACGCAAAAAACATAAAAAATAATGCTATTTCACCGATGTGAATAAATACAACAAGTTCAAGTTCTTATTCTCATTTATATCGATCTTCAACTCTTTTCTAACACCAATACGATAAGCGTATGACTTTCATTATCAAAAATCTTATCCAACGTCATCATCATGTTTTCTTCCCGTGATTATTTAAGTCCCGAAAATCACTTGTATTTCACGAAAGATTCTACAATTTTCTATCTTTTGGCATTTTAATATCTCGGAAAAGAAACATTTTTTTGAGCTAAAATTTTCAGGACATTCTACTGACAAGGGTATGAGTGTGGATGTGAATGAAGAGAAGATCCGTACCCACCAGCGAGCTATGAGTCGTTCCAGGCCCGAATGCAGCTGAAGCCGCAGCTCTCTAATATTCACACCATTCAGAAATATGAACATGAATAATACCAAATGAATCATGACTTTGTTTTAACTTATCCTTTGCATTTGAACGAAATGTATCAATAAATAATTAACGAAAATACTAAAACTTAAATATAAAAAATAAACCAATAATTTTTAAGTAAAACTAACTCTGCTAGTTGCTATTTTGAAGCTAAGATTCATTTTAACAAGAAGATGTTTGATGAATTCATACAGATCAGAATATTCTTCAACCTCAATTTTCTACGCAAAAAAAATGAACTTCAAATATTAACCAATTTATTAAGTAACAAGACTGTTACGTAAAAATTTACTCTCTTAGAATCATTTGAAAAATCTTATGGGAGAAGCTTCTCCAACTACCCCAATCGTTTTTTTTCTCAGAACATCCTTGAGTGTATGCAGTAAACTGCGCTAACTTCGAATGTAAGGTTCTAGCATCTGTTAAGCCTTTTTCAAAATCTATGCTCTCATTACCAATCTCATTCTAACTTTAAATAATAACAGGAAATAACAAAGAATATTACTAATAGAAAACATTATGTTATTGAAAATAACAATTATTTAGAAGACAACAGCTACCACCTTCATCAGCGCCATTTATACCAGTAAGACGAATACATGCATATATACTAAAACTTTATCATAGTACACCTGCTAATGAAGCTCATTGCGGATGTGATAAAACAGTAAGCAAAATTTAAGAACGTTATTATTGGTCAACAATGGTACACTGTAAACTTTTTTGAAATTCTGCGTTTTAGAAAATCGACTTTAAAAAGTTGCAGCATTTTCAAATTTTCATTATTCATTAGTTGAACTTCGAAAAAATTCATTTTTCAAAACAGTGGAAAATCGCGACTGATTATGAATAAAATTCAAAAGTCAATTTTGATTTGAAGTAAATGATCTGAACAATGACCGCTATGGAACTATTGTGCATTAATGTATATAAGTCAGACCGGTAGTG